CCGCGCCCGCCAGCCTGGGCCTCGGCCTGGGACTCGGGCTGGACGGGCAGCGCCAGAGGTGAGTGGGACCCCGCGCCAGATCTGCGCAGGGCTGGGGTGACCTGACAGCCCGGGACACAGGGTCGGGGTGACCTGGGGGTCATCGGTCCAGGGGACGGTGGCGAAGTGGTCCAGGGCCCCATCTGCATAGGACCTGGGGATCAGGGTCATCTGGGGCCCTGGGAGCCCATGGCAGAGGGTCGCACATGACTTGGGGATCAGAAGGGGACCCTGCTCCCCTGGGAGCCCCAGACACAGGGTTGGGGTATCTGGGCCTCCCCAGCACGAGGAAGAGAGTTTTGCCAGGGTCCCATGAGTCTCAAGATGTGGGGGTCAGCAGTCCTCAGGCCCTCTCCGTAGACACAGGGGTCATGGTCCCCTTAACTCTGTCAGCCCCTGTCAGTTTTCGGGTTCCCTCAGCCCTTGTCAGCCCCAGACGCACAGCCCGGGCAGCTCTGGACACGCCCCTCCCAGTCCCCAGACTCAGGGACTCCCAAGCATCCCTTGTGTGTCTCCTTGCGAACGTACTCTGCGCTGGACGAACCTCCGGTCTTCCCTGCACTGTACCGTGTGGCCTTCTGTGCTCGCCGAACCTCCCATCCTCCCAGCCTGCTGGTCCCTGGTCCACCCCGTTACCCCCGTGCTGACTGCCGTCCTCCCCACCCCGTCCCCTCTGAGCTCAGTGCCCCTGGCCCTGTCCATTCCCAGCTCGCACTTACTCTCCCTGCCCTGATTCCCGTTCTAGGAAGCCCTCAGCCCATCCCAGAGCAGGCACCCACCCCTGAGCCCTGCCCCTCTAGGCTGCTTGTGCCCAGATGGCCCCTGGCTGCCAGACACCCCACTTTCTTCTCCCAGAGACCCTTCCTCAGCTGCCCGCAGAGCTCAGCGTTGGGCGTCCCGGCCCCCTTGGCACCTTCCCCTAGACTCTGGGGCTATCCCGTACGCTCCCACTGCCCACCCTCACCCTGGGGCTCAGGACTGACTGCTGTCGCAGTCCTTCTGGAAGGGCAGTGCTTAGGCTTTGCAGGGCAGGCCCTCCTGAGGCAGCCCCCGCGGGTGTGCAGGGAGGGGCTGAGCGCAGAGCCCTAGGGCGGGCTGGCCCACAAGGTCGGGCCTACGCCTCGAGTCCCTGCGGTTCAGAGGCTGCTCTCCTCCCCTGGAGGTCGTCACGGCTGCCTCAAAGCCCTGGCCCTCAGCATGGAGGATGGCGGGGTGAGTCCAGACTGCAGGCTTGCTTGTCCATTCTTGACCTCACATTCTGAGTTCTCGCGCGTGGCCCACGGGTAGGCGCGTACCGAGGTCACTGTCGCACCGCGGGCGGAAGTTATTTCCAGCTCTGCGGGGAAGCCGCTGGCTTCTGGGCAGGCCGGGGTGCACCCGTGGACCTGACTCGTGCCACCAACAGGCCTGGCCCGGGCCGCAGAGATGGGGAGGGGCTAAGCGAAGCTAGGAGATCATCCGGCCAAACCCAGCAGCTCAGCAGCGCGCTCCTGCCGTCCCCGGGCCGGGGACTGCTTCTGCAGGAGGAGGCCAGTATTAAGAAAAACCTGTTTTACCGATGGAAATCAGCCCATTTTAAAAACAGAGCCCCAAAGCCTACTTGTCCTCTTCCTCAAAGTTGTAGTGCCAGCCCAGAGGATGGTCCCCAGGTCACACTGGGTCTCTGGAGTCCCTCAGTGGTGTGACGAGTCAGGGGGCTTCAGAGGGAGGGGCATCCCCTGCCGCCAGGCCCGAGCTTGCTGAGAGCATTTGTGTCTGCTCCCGGCCCGCAGGCGCCAGGCCACCTCCTCCGCCTTGGGGACGCGTGTGCCTTCTGGGCAGACCGCACGTCGTTCTAGGCTCTGTTCCGCAAACTGGCAACCCTGCTGCGGGCCAGACCCTCCAAACCAGCCCCCGGCACCCTGCCCCTTGCAGCCACACTCTAGGGAAGAGCCTAAAGGGGTGTGGGTGCTGGAGGCGGCGCCTGTGAGCAGGAACCCCGCCAGGCCGAAGGGGCTGCTGGTGCTCCCGCCCCGCCCATACCTGGGAGCTTGGGAGGACGCTGGCGTGGGGTGGGGACACGATGTGCATCGAGGTGCCCTTTGGTTTTCCTGCTACACCCATGCCCGTCCCTGTGTTCCTCTACCCGTAGCCTGAGCCCAGGCCAGCCTGAGCCCAGGCCGTGAGCCCTCTCCCGCCGCTCCCACCTTCCTGCCCTCTGGGGCCACACCTGCCTGTGCTGAACGGTCCTTCCCGGGCCCTGCCCACAGGGAGCCGCCGCAGAGTGCGTGAGGGGCGGCCAGCCAAGCCCGGGGGCTCCGAGCTGCCGGCCCAGTCCGAGCATCAGTAGTATTTCCGGAGTGGGGGCTAGTGAGGGCCTCCTCCTGAATTCCGTACTGCGTGTGCACTGGTCAGACCCGCTGTCATCTAGGTCCACCCATCAGGGGCGCTGTTGTGACCGTGGGCAGGAGTCTCTGTTTGCTCCTCTGTGAAGCGCTTTTGCCTTCTGCACTACCTACCTGAGGGGCTGTGTGAGGTCCGGCGAGCTCGAGGGCCGGGCGAGGGGCGGCCTTGGCCAGGGCCGGGTGAGCAGACAGGTGTCAGCGGCAGGTTACCTGGTGAGTGCTCCCGCTCAGCCCACGGCGGGGAAGTTGTGTCACCTTCGGGGTTCAGCCCGGTGTGGCTTTTCCTGCCACGCCAGTGAGCAAGTCACTGGTGTCCACACTTCCCTCCTAGAACCTCTAACACGGTGTTTACTTTCATTTGGACACCGCGGTCACTTGAGGCGAGCAGGCGGGCTTCTGGGCTCCTCCAGCTGGCAGAAACAGGTTTCCAGGCCCCAGCCGGCCCCAGCCAGACCCCCGCCAGGCCCCACACCCTCCTCTCTCCTAGAAAGCCCCAGAGAGGCGCAGCTGCTGAGCAAAGCCCCGGAGCTGGGCACCGCTGGACTGCAGCAGTGCTTCCCCTTGCCGCCCTGGGGGACGCAGGTCTGAGATGGGGACGGGGCGGGGCTGTGCTCCCTCTGGAAGCCCCAGGGAAGGAGGCTTCCTGCCTCCCCGAGCTCTGGGTGGCCCCAGGTGGCCCTCCAGTTTCTGCTCCGTCTTCCTGGTGCTTCTCCTGTGAGTCTGTGTCCGAACCCGGCCTTTCCTCTCCTTGCACAGACCCCAGCCATGGGGTCAGGGCCCACCCGACGGGCCCCCTCTTCATTTGGTCGCATTTGCAAAGACCCTGTGTCTAAACAGGGTCCTAGTCACAGATGTCAGGGTTCAGGACTTCAACATAACTCACGGGGCAGCTGCGACACCTGGGGGCGCAGCTGAGCCCACCACAGCCCTCATTAGTGTCCAAGGCACTGAGGACAAGGCAGGGGAGCCAGGGGCACTGCCAGGAGGCCAGGGACGTGGCTGCATTTCCTGGGAGCAGAATGCCTCACAACTCTGGAGGACTCCCACTGGAGCGATTCTGAGAAGGACCTGGGGTTTCGGCTGCCACGCTGGCCAGGAGCCACCAAGCTCCAAGTTAAACCGATTTCAGTGTAGTGGCTGGCGGTTCGCTTACGACTCTGATTTCGGGGTCTTGCCGGAGGACAGCTGGAGACGGTTGCCAAGGGCAGAGCCCAGAGGCACGTCGTCCTGTGGCAGCTCAGGGGCCTTGCTGAGACTTGGCCCCCAGAGGCCACAGCTGGGCTCCCCTCCCCGGGGCACTTCAGGCCTCTCCAAGTGGTCAGCTAGAACATGGGGTCTGTGCTTTTCCGGGCAGGAACTAGGCAAGATGGGGTGCCCAGGACCACCACTCCTTGGACAAGTATGCACAAGTGTCTGTGAGGTCAGGTGCCGTGCTCACATGGGCACGGAGCAGGAAAGGGTCCCCAGTCATGGGCACGGGTACTCTGCAGCCCACGCCAGCTGGTCTGACCCCTTCACTTGGCCCCTCACTCCGTCTGGGTGGTTCTCAGCCCTCAAACAGACCTCGGGTGGGAGCCCTTCCTTGGCCGGGCACTTCTGCAGTGACAGAGGGCGTTGGTCAGACGATAGAAACTCTAGTGGTGATTTCATGTCGGCAGGAGCATTTCACATCTGGGGTTGGGATGGCAATTCTGAGAGCAAGCGGGAGAGCGAGCAGGCCCGGGGCCCCTTCTTCCCCAAAGAGTCCAATGCAGGCAGCCTCGGGCCAGTCGCCCGCGAGTAGCCCCCGTCCCGCAGACCCTGGCCCTGACCGTGGCTCAGCAGAGAGGCTTCCTAGGCCGGGGAGACTTGTGTTGCCCAAACAGCCAGGGTCGGGGAAGGGGCGGCGCCGGTGACAGAGAACCCCGGTTTTGTTCTTTGTAGCCTGTTTGTTAGTGGTGGTGTTTTTACATGGGGTATAAAATGCGTGTCCCACTCTGGGGGCAGCTCGCGCCGTCCCCTAGAAGCTCTCTGCAGCCGGCCCCCACCCCGGGGCACCCAGACGCGAGCTTCCGTCTGCGTCTAGGCACGTGAGAGTGTGTCCTGCCCAGCCTCCTGCTGACCACGCTGCTCACCTCCAGCGGGGACTTTCAGGTAGAGCTGCTGGCGTGTTCTGTCCTGCACAGACACCTTCCTGGGGGGCAGGTTCCAGAGGCTGAGCAGGGCACCCTTGGCCGGAGCCTGTCCGTGCTGGGGCCCCGTGCAAAGCCATGGTGGTGTCACCTCGGGACTCACCGAGGGGCCGGACATTCCTCCAGAGGAACCACTGCCAGAGGTTGACTGCCAGCAATTTCTTTTAAAAGGGGCGCTGTCCCGGCGCAGCTGGGCTGCTCCATGTTCCGGGAGGGGTAGGCCCCACCTGACCACCTGGGGCGGCCCCTAGACGGCCGTGCGCGTCCACGACCAGGGCCCTGACTGCCGGCTTCCCAACCGCCTTCACTTTCTGGGAACCCTGCAGACCGGGTGCCGCCCAACACACGGTCACCTCCTCACCCAAGGAGGCTGGGATCCCTGGGAGTGTGCAGGCTGCTTCTCTCCTGCCCACAGACACTTTCCTTCCAGAATGTTCTGCAGCCAGCAGCTCATCACTGTGCCCTCACTCCACCCTCTGCTGGTGGGGACACACCCCACGCTGGGCCCCCCTCCCAGTACCTGCACATCCACCTGATCCTGAGAACACAGTAGGCCTGCACGCCTGGGCCCCCGGTGGCCCGTGTGCCCCTGCGGACCTGCGCTTCAGCTCGGGGCACAGTGACGGGCACTGTTGCAGGCGTTTCATCCCAGCTCAGACAGCCCACCAGGAACGCAGGCCGTGTTCAGCAGAGAAGCACCCGAGGGCATGCCCGAGGGGTGGCCTCAATTCCAGCCAGCCCCGCGGGGGCCGCAGGGGGGCAGAGAGGCCGTGCTCCTGCCGTTGGCAAACGCACAGGCCGCCTGCGGGTTCGCAGGTCCTGGTACCACCTGAGCAGCTGCGACCTCAGGCAGCTCACTTGCCCGCCCTGTGCCTCAGTTTCCCCACACGTCAACAGAGAGTAATAACACCGCCCTCCCACGCAGTTATCGTGAGGGCTGAGTGTCTGTGTAAAACGCCTGAGACGGGGGAGAGGTACCTGCAAAGGCAGTGGGAACAGATTTTAAAGCCCGGTGGGCTGAGCTTATGGCATCATCCCAGGATCTCCAGAAGGCGTGAGCAAGGCGGCAGAGGCCCCTGTCTCGCCTGCCTCTCCTCCAGGCAGCGGGCCAGCGACCGTGTGCCGGGCCGGGCCTCTGTGGAGGTCGCTGCCGGCCTGGGCCCCGCAAACGAGGTCCCGGGTGTGCAGAAGCCGTGGGGACACCACCTGGGAAATGCCCTGAGGAAGCCACAGGGGGCTGCTCCATGGAGCCTCAGAGCCCAGCCCCGCAGGGCCGCACGCAGACACCTCCGGGGACGCTTGGGCTCTCCCCAGGTCGGCAGCTTTCCTTGACACGGGGCCTGCCCTTCCACCTGTTCACCCCCACCTCCCCCCGCAGGCTTCGCAGGACGCTGGATGTCCTCCCGACGTGCCCCTCCTGCTGCCCATTCACCACCCCACCCCCGCTCTAGCCAGTCCTCAGGCCACGGCTGCAGCCCGGGCTCCCCTGCCTGACGTCACCCCCAAGCACTCGTCTGGTAGGCGGGTGCCCTCCCCCCACGCCAGCTGCAGAGGGAGGTCACTGCCCCTCTTTGAAGACAGGCCTGTGGTGGGAGACCCAGCATTTCACTGGAGGTTGCGCCGTGTTCAATTTTTGTTGATTTTCAGTGCGTGCCATTGTGGTCACTTTAAAGACTTATGTGGAGGCCGGGCTGGAGCTTCGAGGTGACAGCCTTGGAGCCCCCAGGACTGCCCTGGTTGTGCGACCTGGGCCAGGTGCCCAGCTGCTCTGGGCTGCCATAGGCCGTGGCTCCATGGCAGAAGGTGGGGGCTGGGCCCCTAGCACACGATGGTGACCGCCTGTCCGCCTGGCTCCTTCCTCCCGGGACTCCAGGCCACTTCTACCTGGTGAGGTGGCCTGACCACGCTGGGCCTCTTCCGTCAGCCAGGGTCCTGTGGGAGGACAGCATTGCTTCTGGGCAGGCTACAGCTCCCTGAAGTGGCTTCCTCGGCCATGTGTCCCTCCCCTGCTCCCCTCCCCAGGAGCCTGGGCTGTTCACACTCTAGACATGCGGGGTGTCTGGCGTATGCTGGCCCGTGTTGCTTAATTTCGTGGACGCCACAGCCGTGGTCTCTGGGATCCTCCCTCTCGTTGGGAACGTGTGCGGACTTGGGGCCCATCTGCATAGCTTTGTCGCAAGCAGCCCTTACTGGTGAGATGTGCGCGTCCACCCCACGAGGACGAGGAGGTCAACAGGTGACCACAGGGGTGGCCTGGGTGTCGGTAACCAGGCTTTGTGATCTTGACCTGAGAGCGCAGCCGCACAGGGTTTCTGAGCCTTCAGGCTTGAGGAGCTTCCCTGGCAGTGGGGTGGGAGGCTGTGAGCTCTCCGGGTACAGTTCCTTCAGCCTGCTGTGGGTGAGCGTGGCCGGCCCTGCCAGTCCTGGGCCAGAGAGGATGTCTGGAACGTGCTGGGCTGAGCTCCAGGAGGCCATGGGCAGCAGACCAAGGTGCTGGTCCCCCTTGGATTCTTCTGGCAAACTCTGGTCCTTGGGTGGCCCTACCCAAGGCTCAGACCTCACCCCAGACAGGCTCCTGACCCAGTCGATGGCTGGGGCTGCCCTTCAGCAGGGAGACTCCTGAGAGCACGTCTCTGGGTCTGAGAGCAGCCCCTTCCTGAGGGGGGCTGAGAGCTGAGAGCTGAGGCCCTGCTCTGTCTTCTTACAGAAGGCGAGTCGCCTCCCAGCGCTGTTCTCTTGAGTTCCTGGAAGACGCTGTGGGATGTGCCTCGGTTCAAAGGTAAGGGTGTCTGAGACCTGGGGCCAGAGGAGGTCTCGAGGGAGGAAAGAGTGATCTGGTTTTTACCTTGTAGAACCAAGCACATTTCCGGATCCCCAAGACACAAAGGCTTGAAGAAGACCCACTTCATCAAGAACATGAGGCAGTATGACACCAGGAACAGCAGGTGCCATGGGCCATGGCCAGGGCTGCCGTCCAATCCGGGCCCCCCGCCTGCAGCCCTGGAGCTGCCCACCGTGTCCCCCTCGCACCAATCAGGGGCTGGGGACCTGCCTTGTCCCCCTCTCTGGTAGCCCAGGTGAAGGGACACAGGACAGGCATGATGACACAGCGGCGGGTTTTATTTGGGAAACACGGCGGGTGGTTGAGCTACAACCTGGGGCGCGGCTGCCCCATACCGGGGCGGGCCTGGTGCGGTGGCCCTCAGGGCGCCTGTGTCTGTTGGCACTGCAGGGGGCCCCTCGGCGTTGCTGTCGCCCGCCCTGAGACGTCTGAGCCCACTGTCCTTCCTGCTGGGGGCCATGCTGCCACGTGTCCACCCCGCGGCCCTGGTTGGGGAGCTCTGTGTTCTCCCAGCAGGGGCCCAGACACCCCTCCCCAAGCATGGCCCCCAGGGTGACGGGCGCGTGCTGGTGCCAAGGAGCAGCCCGAGGCAGGTCTGCGTGCTGTGGGGCTTCAGCACGCCCAGGTGTGCGGTGGTCCCAGCCAGCAGCTTGTGTCACCCAAGTCTAGAGGAGAAGGCGTTTTCTCCCAGAAACACCTCCCACCTGCTCTGACCAGCACCTCCCCCCAGGATCGTGCTCATCTGTGCCAAGCGGTCCCTATGTGCGGCCTTCTCGGTCCTGCCCTACGGAGAAGGCCTGCGGCTCAGGTGAGTGGCCCAGGGCGGCACTGAGCTCGGCACCAGCCCTGGCACAGCTCCCCAGGAACTCTGAAGGCCTTTGGGCCCTGGTTCCCTAGCAGGGGTGTGTCCACACCGTTGCTCTGTGTGAGCTGTTTATGGCAGACGCTGGGGACGCTGCTCATGGGGCCGCTGCCCTGCGCCCTCATGCGCGCGTCAGGCGGCTGTGTCCCGTGCGTCGCTCCGGGAGGAAGGAGATGGCCGTCGGAGTGGGCATGGCGATGGGGAACCCTTCCCCCGGGACGGGCCTGGGCCAGCTGGCCAAGCGGGTGGCCTCGGGCAGAGGTCAGTGCCTCTCCATTACTGCCGACCTCTAGAGTATTCGAACAGGAAGTGCGTGGGCCTGGGAAGGGGCAGGGAGGGCGGCAGCCGTCTCCCGTCCTATGCACTGCAGTGACCTGAGGGTGGACAGCCAGAAACAGAGGCACCCGTCCGGCGGCGTCTCCGTGTCTTCTGAGATGGTCTTTGAGTTGGAGGGCGTCGAGCTGGGAGCAGACGGGAAGGCAAGTGTGGCTGCGGTCCGTGGGCGGGGTAGGTGTTTGGGGGCCACGGAGCTTGCGCTCACCAAGGCAACAAACACATGGAGTTGTGTTTCCCCCTGAATCTTCTAAAATACACAGTGTCGGTGGGAGAAAGCCCCACAGCCCGAAAACGGGCCCCGTAGCCTCGCTCAGCAGCCAGGTGAGGGTGTCCCGGTGCCGTCTCTGTGCTGGTGGTCAGAGGGAGGGAGAAGGTTCCTGTGCTGCAGATCCCACACAGGATGGCAAGGGTAGCATTCTGGAATGTTCTTGTTATTGAGAATACTAACCCCAGGGGTGCAGTGCCCAGCGAGGGGCTGCCTGGGAGCACTCGCCCTCAGTAGGTCTTTCTTTACCCATGCAAGGGTGGCAGTTGTGCGGGGCCTTCCTGCAACAGGAAGGCGTAGGGGACAGCTTGCTGAACCTCTGGTCTCAGGCCAGGCCAGGGCCCGGGGGCGATAAGGACTGAGCCCTGACACCCTTGTCTCTCCAGGTGGTGTCTTACGCCAAGTTCTTGTACCCTACCAACGCCCTGGTCACACACAAGACAGACGGCCACGGCCCGCTGCCCCAGCCCCGGCCCAGCATCCCCCGTGCTCTGCCAGGCTCAAGATACAAACCGGCCCCGGCCAAGTCAGCGCCAGCTGGCACGGAACTAGGTAGCCTCATGTGCCCTAACTGGGCTTAGGGCAGGCGGCCACACCAGCTGGGCAAGGGAGAGCACGTAGCCAACCAGGGTCCCAGTCCAGACAGGGCACCAGGCTCGGGAGCAGGGTCAGGAGAAGGGACTCCCGCTAGAGCAGACAGCCTAGGCTTCGTCCAACCGGGCACTGGAAAGATCCCGTGTCCAGCGATGGCAGGGGGCTGGGGGGCTGGGGGCCCCTCCTTGTCAAGCACTCCTTCCTTCCACCCAGCTCTCAGGGGCAGGGAAGCATGGCCTGCAGCCCCTCCCAGACCGCAGACCCCAGCTGGGGGCTCGTGGTGGGTCAGGGCTGCCCTCTGCCTGCAGGCGGCGACGCTGGGGACGTGCTGGACTACAATCCCGACCTGCTGGACGACCCGCAGTGGCCCTGTGGCAAGCACAAGAGGGTCCTCATCTTCGCCTCTTACATGGTACGGTGAGCACCACCACGTGCCCAGCCCGCACGGCCCCGGGGGTCGGGGCAGGCCGACACAAGCTGCCAGGGTGGGGCTGACATGCCCCCCCACCCCCAGGACAGCACCAGCACCTCAGGACAGGACGGGGTACACCATAGGCCAGAGAGGTGCCCTAGGGTCACTGCTGCCTTCAGCACGCACCCTGGTGGCAGGGGCTGCCCACTCTGTGCTCTGCGTCGTGAGGCGTGTCCTTGGCAGAGCTGGTGCCTGAAGCCGCCGCGTGCTGGCATCGCAGACCCAGGCCGGCATGAAGTCACCCCCCCGAGGCCTCGGGCAGGTGCGCCGCTAGGCCTGCGTGGGGCAGGCTCCCCACCCTGCCGCCTCTCCTGCAGACCACGGTGATCGAGTACGTGAAGCCCTCTGACCTCAAGAAGGACATGAATGAGACCTTCCGCGAGAAGTTCCCGCATATCAAACTGACCCTGAGCAAGATCCGGAGGTGAGGCGCTGAGGCGGGGTCTCGAGGCTGAGGCGGGGTCTCGCGGCTCCTGCCCCCATTTCCGGCAGGTCCTGTGAGCTTGACAAATCCACGTGTGCCCCCCCAGCTCCCCACCCCCCCGCCGTCTGTCCGGGCCAATAGCGGCAACTCCCCAGTCCCCCACTACCACCTCCGCAGGCCAGGCTGCCTCGAGGCCTCTCGTACCCCCACCTCCAAGCCCTCCTCCCTGATGCCCGGGACAGCACGGGCGGCGGGCACTGAGCCCGGCGATGGATGGGATCAAGGGCCGATGAGGCTGGCCCAAGACCTCACGGCAAGTAAGTGGCTCAGTGTCCTGCCCAGGGTCCTTCTGGCCCCACTGCGTCCCACCGTCCCCTCCCCAGCAGCACCCATAAGGGCTTCACTGAGGTCTAGATGCTGCCTCAGCGTGTCTGCACCACAGGGCCTTTCTGTGGGTGGTTTTCTCCCGCGTTGTCCTCCCCGCTGCCACAGGACCGCAGGGACTGTGTCCTCTGTCCAGTGTCCCCTGGAGCACAGCGTGGGCCAGCCGATACAGCTGGGAGGACGGGTGCCATGGCCCGACATCAGCCAGCTCGCCCGCCAAGCTGCAGGCCGAGTGCTGCCCGCAGGGAACGGGGCTTTCCCGCCGCCCAAAACGCGGTGTGGGGCCGGGAGAGGGTGGCTGCTTCCTCGGCCCCTGAGCACCGGGCCTCCCCGTCACCTGCAGCTTGAAGCGCGAGATGCGGAACCTTTCTGAGGAGTGCAGCCTGGAGCCCGGGACCGTGTCCATGGCGTACGTGTACTTCGAGAAGCTGGTCCTGCAGGGCAAACTCAACAAGCAGAACCGCAAGCTGTGCGCCGGCGCCTGTGTGCTCCTCGCCGCCAAGATCAGCAGCGACCTGCGCAGGGGCGAGGTGAAGCAGCTCATCGACGTGAGTACGCCCTCCTCCCCCGGACCGGGCTGCCCGCCCGGGACCCGGAGCCAGGCCTGCACCCGCTGCCCTGGGCGGGAGACAGAGCCGGCCCCGCGTAACCATCTCGCTTTTTCAATGCAGAAGCTGGAAGAAAGGTTCCGATTCAACAGACGGGATCTAATTGGGTTCGAGTTCACGGTGCTGGTGGCCTTGGAACTCGCGCTCTACCTTCCCGAGAGCCAGGTGTTACCTCATTACCGACGCCTCACGCAGCAGTTCTAGTCAAGGCCGGCCCCACTGCCCACACAGCCCTGGTGCAGGCGCCCGCACGGGCCCGGGAGGTGTTTGCAGGCACCGCACGCCCACTGGGCCCCACTTCGGCACCCAGCTGGGGCACCCGCCTGGCGGGGACTCGCCTGCCCTCTGTGACTGACGCCAGTGTCTTCACACCCTCGCAGCCTTGCAGGGACACTATTTCTGTTCCAAAGCACACTGTGTCCGTGGTATTCCTGAGAGCCTGAACAAGACGGGAGGTTTTGTGTTCTTTGCCACGTGCCTGAGAGTGGGCTGCACGGGGACCCTGGCTTACCCGTATGGCCACCCCAGCTCCGCGGCATCCTTCTTTGCGTCTTCCGCAAACCACCAGTGAAGATCTGGGTTCCCGCACCCTCCCCAACACACTGAAATTGCTGAAGTTAATGTAATGAAGCCTTGGGCTTGGCTGCAGAGATGCACCCCTGCACCCCGACGGCCTGGCTCCCTCCCGCCCAGCAGCGACTCCGGGGATGCCCGCCCACCTCCCCCCGCATCCACAGGTGGAGCTCTGGCATTAGATTGAGCCAACCGGAGCAGACTCTGGTTTCTCTCATCTGCTACTCTTCCGAGCATCGTGTCACTGTGAAATCCTGGTGCCGAGTGTCCTACAACCCAGTGGGCCTTGGCAGACACTGGCCTGTCCCTGGGGACCCTCACCTCCCCGCCAGAAGCCGTTTGCCTACGACACTCTGGACCTTCAGGATGACTGGATTGCTTGCTCTTGGCTCTTGATCTTCCTAAGCAATATTGTGTCGGAGAAAAACTGTATTTATTGTTACTCGCAATTTGGTTCTATGGGTCTTTTTAAGGGAAGAAAAATTGGCTACATGAGATCTGTTGAAGTTGTGACTTGAAACCACTTGATCCCCAAGCAGGCAGGAGATGGGCTCCCCCATGGCCCTACCTCCCTAAGGGGGTGAGTGCTCACATGGTTTCTTCCCAGGCAGGCAGGAGCAGTAGGCCCAGCTGTCATGAAAGGAGCCCATTGGGTAATGGCGGTCACCTGTGTACAGGCCTGTGCCCCTCATGCCCACCAGGGCCCGTGTTGTGCTTTCCCAGGTCTGTGTCCTTCCCGCACCCTCTGTGACCTGGTTCTCCCGCGTGCTGCCCCACCAAACACTGAAGAACCAAGGAGTTTCCCGCCTTGGGTCAGCTGGGCTCTTCAGCCGCTCCCCTGCTGCTGTCCTACGAAGCGGTCACAGGGCCCAGGCTACAGCCCCACCCCATCCTCACGTGAACTGGTGCTTCTGCGAAAGGGAGACCCCAGTTCTCACCACAGCACTTGGGCACCCGCGTCCGCCCACAGGCCAGCTGTTCCTTCCTCCCCTCCAGGGCCAGCGGAGACTGAAGCACGAATGCCAAAGCCCAAGTCCGCGTTCCAACCTCATTGATTGTGGAGCACCTCCCTGTCCTCTCCAGCGCCGCCCCTTAGCCCCCATGAACCCAAGGGGAGGGTGGAGGTTCCCCTCTGGATGGCGACCTGTCCCGCCGCCTCTCAAGGATATTTCGGGTCACAGGTGTTGCGAGGGACCCACCCCGAGTATACATCCTGGTTCACAGCTTCACCTCAGAAGAGGGCACGCGTCCCAGGGAACTTCCAGGCAACCTTAGAGCCGCAAAGACAGGACCCGTTGACGTGTAGACAGACCACCGGTAACTTCTCCGTTGGCGTGTCCTTGTGTCCCCCATGCGGGAAGCTGCTCTCCTGTGGGACTCGGCGGTCACCACAGCAAAGCCAGTACTGAAGCCAGACTTCAGCCTGACCCCGCGGCAGGTGTCTGAGGGCCTGACGTTCTCCACGCTCGCAGCGGTCGTGGGCGGGACGTGCGCTCGGGACTCTGCGACCTCATTGTGCAGTCACATGTCACGTGTTTGCAAATAGTAATGTGTTTGGTTCACAGTAAAACGTGGTTTTGCACCGTCCTCGTGGGCTGGTTGTCTGCTTCCGGCTGAGCGGCCCCTCCTCGTCAAACGCCACCGCCCCGACCCTGGTGCCCAGAGGAGCGCAACCAGTCACAGAACAGACCCACACAAACGGGTTTCACTGTTTATTTACGGCAAACCCCCAGCCTCTGCGATCGCCTCCAGTCAGAAGTTCCTAGGACAAAAGCACAGCGTTAAAGCCTCGTTCCTGGAAAGGTGCGGGGCCCCTGCCCAAACGCAGGCCCTCTGACTTACTTGGAAACGATGCCGTCGGCCTTGGCCAGCCGGAGGATGGAGTCATCGGACTCACCCTGGAAAAAGCAGGGCCGGCTGTCTCCTCTGCCCCCCACGGCTGGCCGAGCACCGGCTCGCTCGGTCTCCCGGGCTCCCCTCTGACCGCCCCGCGCGGGACGGGGGTCCTCTAGGAGCCAGGGGGGCCCTTTCCCAGCCCCCAGACCCCCGGCCGCACCCCCAGGAAGGCCCGGCGGCCGCACGTGGACCGCGCCGGCTCACGTCCCCTCCCCGGTTCTCAGCGCCGGGGAGGGACACACTCACCATCCTGCGGATGGCCCCGCAGATCGCGTAGGTCTTGAACTGGCCGTTGAACCTGCCCGTCACCTTGTCGACCTGCAAGTCGTCACCCGGTGTCACGGAGACCGCCAGGCGCCTCCCGCTCCACACCGGGGGCCCGGGGATGACCGACCCCGCGGGCCGCCCTGGGAGCGTCCTCCCGGAGGGACTGGCCCTCCGCCGCCCGGCTCACCTCGGCCACGTTCATCTGGATGGACGCGTGGTCCTTGGCGCCGATGATGCGGTTGCTGGCGGAGCTGCGGGGGATGGGGGGGCGCGGTGAGCGGGCGGGGTGGGGGGAGCTGTAGGGGCGGCGGGATTCGGGGCGGACGTCGCTCACCATTTCCGCGGCACGTACAGGTCCACGAACTCGCCGGCGTCGTTCTGCATGGCGAGGGCGCGCCTGCGAGACCCCGCGGCGCCGTGAGGCCGGGCCGTGTCCCCTCCCCGCCCGCCGCGGCCCGGGTCTCCCACCACCCCTACCCCGGCCCGGGCTCCCACGCCCCACCCCCGGCCCGGGTCTCCCACGCCCCTCCGGGGCCCCCCGCCCGCCGCGGCCCGGGTCTTCCGCCCCCCTCCCGCCCGGCCACGCGACGCACTTGCTGCCGGCACCACGAGCGCGAGCGCAGAAAGGAAGCGCGGCGTCCCCCGGCAGCGGTATTGGGAGGCGGGGCGGGGCCTCGGGGAGTGCTTCCGGGTCCCGACGCGCCGCGCGCAGCCTGCCTTTCGGGTGTACTTCCGCTTCCGGGGGCGGGGGCGGGACCTCCGTGCGCTGGGCGGCGGGGCGGGGAGCGGGGGGGTGCGCGGGGCGGGGAGCGGGGGGGTGCCCGGGGCGGCGACCTGCGGGCTCGCGAGGGCGGACGGCGCGGGCGGGCGGTGGGGAAGAGCGGCGACGCGGGACGTGCAGCAGCGTCCTGCGCCTTGGCCGGAGGAAGTGGCCGCGGACCCGGCGCGCTGGGACCCCCAGGGCGTGTGGGCAGGCGCCGGCGGGAGCGGCGGGGTTCGGGCCGGGTCCCCTCTGCGGCGGGTGCGGGCGTCCCCCCTCGGTCGGAAACCGAGGTCCGAGCAGGGAGGGACGCCGCCGAGGGTGGGGGCGGGGCCCGGCCCCGGGCAGCGCTGAGCCGGATGGGCCGGTGCCCTGCAGCCCCCGGAGTGCGCGTGGCGGCCCCTCGGCTCCCGCCTCCGCGGCGGATTTCTCGGCTCAGACCAGTTGGGCCCGCGCGCGCGCAGGGGCTGCCGGAGCTGAGCGGCTGGGGGGGTTGTCCGTGCGCCCGCCTCGCCCTGCCGGGTCTCGGCTCCCGCACCGCCTCCCTGACCCGAGTCGCTGTCCGCGGGCGCCCAGGACACGCCGCCGGGCCAGCCCGGCCGCACGCACCCTGTTTGCCAGCCTCACTCTGGGCCTGGCCGGAGCTGGGGCTGCAGGTTCCCCGTGCCTGGGAGCCAACCGACCTGTAAACAGGGCGTCTGCTGTCCCTTCCCCTGAGGTCCGGCTGAGGCCGCTCCCGCTGGGCGGTCACTCCGTGGGCCTGCAGGCCGCCCCACGCGTGCACGGACATGACCTGCTCGTGGTCGGGGGTTCACGCAGCCGGCCGGTCTGCACGTGGGTCGGCACGGCAAGATTCTGTAGCTGGGAGGCGGAGGCAGCTGGAGCGCCAGAATGCGGGAAGGGAGACAGGTCTGCAGAGGGTCTCCTCGGAGCTCGGGGCGCAATAGAGAGCGGGGGATACACCGCACGTGTGGTCACATGATTGTCCACCGGGCTACCGAGACCACACTGGGGCAAAGATCTGTCTTTTCAACAAACGGTGAAACGGGAAATCGGGACATCCACACGGATGAATGAATGAATGAAGCTGGCCCCTGCCTCACCCCGATACAAAATTAAAGTGGATCAAGGGCCCAAAACTATAAAATTCTTCGAAGAAAACGTAGAATACAAGCTTCATGGTATTGGACTTGGTGATTTTGATAGGAGACCAAAGGCATGGACAAAAACGAGACAGAAGGCACCTCGTGAAAATTTTTTAAATTTGCACATCAAAAAACAACATCAATAAAGTAAAAAGGCAACCCACAGAGTGGGAGGAAATATTGCAAATTATACATCTGATAAGGGATCAATATCCAGAATAGAGAACAAAAACGGAACAGAAAAGCAAGCGACCCAAATCGAAAGTAGACATTTCTCCAAAGAAGGTGTACGAACAGCCAGGAAGCACGTTTAAAATGGCTCCACCTCACTAATGAGGGAGACGCAGACCAAGACCCCAGTGAGATTCCACTTCACACCCGTTAGGAGGGCAACAACAAAGAGGAATGTTGGCATGGGTGTGGAGAAACCGGAACCCATGCCCCTTGGTGGTAGAAATACAACGTGTGCAACCATCGTGGGGTACCATAGTGGTTCCTCAATTAAAAGGAATTACCAAATGATAAACAAGTCCACTGTTGAGTGTATACACGGAAGAAGCGAGATCTCGAAGGGACGTTTGTACACCTGTCACGGCAGCGCCACCCACAGTAGTCAGAAGTAACCCATATGCCCACTGGCGTATGAGCAGATGAACCAGATGTGGTCTGCATGTACAAGGGAGTGTTACTCTGCCTTAAAAAGGAAGAAAATTATGACACATGCATATAGTGAAACCTTGCGGACATTACACGGGGTGGAATACGCCAGTCACAGGAAGACAAATCCTGCTCAGTCACACTTTCTGGAGGTGCTTGGAGTCCTCAGAACTGGAGAGGAGGATGGTGGAGGCCCGTGTCTGCGGAAGGGGAACAAAGTTATGTTTAATGGGGACAGAGTTTCAGTTCTGCAAAATGAAGAGTCCTGGAGAAGGACAGCAGCGATGGTGGTATGTCACTAATGTATTTAATACCACTGAGTGGTACCCGTAAATGGTTAACATGGCAGTTTTTTGTTACGTGTGTTTTATTTATTTTAAAGATTTTATTTTTAAGTAATCTCTGCACCCAACATGAGACTCAAACCCACAACCCCACAGTCAAGAGTCTCTCCCTCCACCAGCTGAGCCAGCTGGGCGCCCCATGTTTATTGTTAACACAATTAAAAAAAAAAAAAAAGTAAGACTGTAGGACACAAACAGGTGTACACACTCCTTTCCACTAGGGCAGAGTCCCAAGACCAAGTTCTTTTTTTTTTTTTAAGATTTTATTTATTCATTTGACAGAGATCACAAGTAGGCAGAGAGGCAGGCAGAGAGAGAGGAGGAAGCAGGCTCCCCGCCGAGCAGAGAGCCCAATGCGGGGCTCGATCCCAGGACCCTGGAATCATGACCTGAGCCGAAGGCAGAGGCTTTAACCCACTGAGCCGCCCAGGTGCCCCCCAAGGCCAAGTTGTTCAAGGGGAAATTCTGTGCCCCCTACCCTATGGCCCGTGACATCTGGATGAGCCCCTCTCTTCAGAAACCCTGCTGTCTGATGTCCCACGTCCCCCTTGGAGCAAGTGGCTCCTGAAGGGAGCCAGGTAGGCCTCTCACCAGTAGGGCCCGGCCACCTGTAGAGAGAGTGTTGCCGGCAGACATCAAGAGCCTCGGTTAGGGGTGGCCTCACGGCACCTGCACTGTTCCCAGCGGCCACTGTGGGGCGTCCAAGAGCTGTGCCTGGCACTGCCTGCAGCTGTGGAAGAGGCCCTAGACCGGAGGTTCACCTGTCCCCAGCCCACTTCCCTGCTGGCTGAAGGGGGCTGAACCGCCTCCCTCAGACCCCTCGCCTCTTGCCCATGGGGTAAATTGTTCACTAAGCTTCCTGTGGGGTCTTCCAGGTTGGGGAAGGGCCAGAGGTCAGGCAGTACAAAGGGGGGGGGGGCAGGAGGACCTGGCACCTGAAGACGCTGTCAGGCTCAGCCCCTTTGGCAGACCCAGGGCAGCTCCCAGGAGCAGCGGCTGTTGTGCAGGTGGTGCCGGTCGGGGTTCCTGTGCGCGCCTGTGTCTGCTCAGGAATGTGTGCCTGTTCCTGTCCCCACCTCGGGTCACCTCGGCCATCAATACCACGTCAGGATCACAAGCTGAGTGTGTACTGTTTCTCTGCCTCTTAACTGAGTGACCTTGGACAAATTACTTAGCTGCCCTCTCCTGGCTGTTAAGTGGGGGCAACCGAATTAAAGCCACCCCACGGGGCTGGGGTCGTCTGCATTGAACGGACTAACACATGCCGTGCTCAGAATGAGTGTGGCGCTCAGGGAGTTCATGCACCACCACTGGCACCATCACCGCCACCACCGTCGTCCCCACCATCACCGTCGTCCCCACCACCACCTCCAGCATCGTAATCACCATCATCACTTCCGCCATCACCGCCATCATTATTGTCGTTGTTCCGTCGTGGCTCCAGGTCATAGGACTAGACTTGAATCCTGAGCAGGTGACAGGAAGCTGTACTGGAACCACCCCAGTCTCACACGGGTC